ACAGCTATCCCACGACGGAAATCAGCTCCTCAATCAGATTAACAACCCTTCCTTTAAAGATGTAGAGATTCTGGAAATGTTCACAGCCATCCCACTTTCTGCTGTGCAGTGTGAGACCATCATGGAAATGGACTGCTCCCCAACTAGCTCCAAAGGATTTTCCTAAAATACTCAATACTTACTAGGAGATGATGATACAAATTTCAAAGATAACATCAAGGTAAAGATCTGTAATAATTTCTACACCTGCACTGTCCAATACGGTAGCCAACAGCCACAAGCGGCTATTAAACTAGCCAAATACAGGATTCGTATTTCCTCAGTGAGATGGACACTTTTTAAGGCTTTTCAACTACATGGCTAGTGCATTTCTTACTGCATGGTGAAATATAGCATGTTCCCAATCTTGAAAAGAATCTAGTGGACAGCGCTATACTAAGTATAGAAAAGCAGAACATGAATAATAGTTTTACTTTCCTTGCCAACATTTGATGCAGTTGACCTCAAACACTGTGGTTACAAAAATTCTGAAAAGAATGTTAAAACATTACTATCGTTATACTTTCAAGTTGACTTTTTTTTTTTTTTTTGGTACCAGGAATCAAATTCATGACCTTGCACTTGCCAGGCAAGGGCTGTGTCACTGAGCTATATCCCTGGCCCCAACATAAAACTTTTTTATCATAAATATCAAGTTATAATAAAAGACTTTTTTCTGTCTTTTTTGAGACAGGGTCCTGCTATGCAGTCCAGACTGACCTAAAATTTCCCAGCAATCCTCCTGGCTCTGCCTCCTGAGTGTTAGGGTTACAGTGTGCACCACCATGACTGGCAAGACTTGATTTTAATGTTTTATTTCCATTTTAAAATGAAACGATTCCACTCTCAAATTTATCCACTGGAATCTAAATATTTTAACTGTCTGATATTCATTTTCTGAACTAAAAAATACATTTCACAGCTCCCATTTTATCTGAATATATTTTTAATATTAACAGTTCAATTTGTCGTCTTTACCATAAAAATATGCACATTTGTAATATTTAAAAATTTTCAGTGAACAGATTTAAAAATTTTCAGTGAACAGAAAGTTAAAACAATTTTTCTGATTTGATTATGCATAAAAATTTACATTTTTGAAACATTACACATGAAAAGCAAATTTTTTTGCATGCAAACAAATCACCTCAATCTTCTCATTTATTATATTAGTTATTTTCTTGTCTCCCTCATGAGAATGAGAGCACCATAAAAGGAAGAATTGGGGGCTGGAGATTTAGCTCAGCGGCATAAGCGCCTGCCTTGCAAGCAGGCAGTCGTGAGTTCGATCCCTGGTACCAATAAAAAGGAAAAAGACAAAAAAAGAAAAGAAAAAAAAAAGGAAGAGTTTTATGTTTTGCTTACCAATGTATCTTAACCATTTGGAAGAGTAGCCAACACATAGTAGGTGCTCAGTAAATATCCAGTGAATTGAAAAAAAGGTAAAATTTTATCAGAAATGTACCTTAATAAAGTATTTTTGAAAATTACATAATGTACTATGCATGAATACTATTAACTGCTGGAATGAGACAAAGTTCAAAAAGGAATCAACAGCAAAAAGGTGATCAAGCATGGGATATGCTTATTTTTTATTTGTGTATGTTTATATAGTAACAATATAAATCATAGAATCTATAACTTACTCCACATGGTAGGTATGAATAAAAAGCAAAGAAGTAGTTATACTAAGTAGTAAATTTCCAAACTTTAAAAAAAAAAAAAAAAGGATTTAAATGTTCTACTAGCTTTTTGGCAAAATTAATGAAAATGCTTCTCTTAGTAGTCAGGAAAAAGTATAATTCAAAGATGCAGTACTGATCCTGTTGAAAGTTAACACTGAAGTGTTCCCTTATTTAAAATAATGCAAAATACAAAAATAAGATGAAAGCTGGAATCATTAAATAGGCTTTCAGAGACTAATATGTTAAACTGCCCCCTTATTTAATAGTACTCTAGAACTTTTCCTATATTTTGGAAAAATGCACCATAACAAAGCTAGAACAAGTGAAAAACAAACTCTCCTTCTGTAGAAGAAAAACTATAAAAAAGCAACTAAAATCTGAGACCTCTGAAGCCTCACCTTGACTTTGGAGAACTCAATGTGAGCAAGAAGTATATTTTTAAGCAGAAAAATTTATAAATCAGTTCTCTAAATTAGACTGCTAATGCCTGCAAACTGAGATGCACAGAAAGGCTCTGTGAAACTCAAGTTATGATACTCGGTAAGGAACTGGTTTAAAAAATATTCTTACTCTGTGGTACAACAGTGTCAAATAAACACAACTGTTTGCATTTTTTTTGGCCTAGAATAAACAAACCTATGAAATAGAATTTTGTATATATATATATATATATATATATAGAAAATAAATAGGCTGGGGATATAGCTCAGTGGTGCAAGCACATGCTTGGCAAGTGCAAGATCCTGGTACAGAAATAAATAAATAGAAACTGAATTGCTTTTAAAAACAGAAATTTAAGTCACTTGTAGAACTTACAAAATTGTCTTTGCTGTTATCTTTGTTTTACCTAAACTGAGACCCACAAGCAGTGACTGCCAAGATGAACTGTAAACTCACTGTACATAGTCAAACTTCTGTCTCTCACTCAATTCCCCGATCTCTATGTTACAGATGACCTCTTTAACACTGCCAGCACAATCTACCAGAAACAGCAACAGCTGAAGGAGACCCTCAAATTATCACAATCCCTCCAACAACATTAAAAGTGTAGTAAAAGATGTGCTAAAACTCTATCATATTTAAAAGTAAAGAATTTATAAAACTTATCACTTTGTAAAAATCTAAATAACAAGTAATACTCCATCTTTATATTTAAAGCCAAATGAACTTTACAAGGCCACGCAAATCATAAACAAAGAATAGTGTAAATGGATTAATTATTTTCACTAGCCTACTCTATACAGACAAATTCAGGACTTTCTGAATGTGTTATAATACTACCCTCTGGATCTAATCTTAGACTGTTTTAATTTCATCAGATAAGGGCCAAGACAGACCTGAGTTTTAATGAATTCCTCCTGCATTATAGTACAGCATAGTGATACACCAAACAGGTTTCATCTGAATCACCAATGGGTCACCAGAAAGTAATATAAATGTGCAAGTAAGTTAGTTGTAAATTACAGAGTAATGAAACCACTCTGTTCAAAAAGCAATTCCTTTTTAATGCTAAAAGCCCAACACGTAATGGGGGCTGAATCTGACCAAACCTACTATGATTAAAATTTTGCAATTCTTAATTATTGGTTTTCAAAATATATTCAACAGACTGAATTTCAGTATTTACCACATTCCCAATAGGTACAAAGTACATATAATTAGAATGAAACATCATCTATTAAGTGTTATTACTGACACAACCAGGTACATTTTGTATAAAGTTGTCTCATATTTTCCATGCAGTTTCAGCAGACATGATAACTATAGACTCCTCTTATCCACGAGGAGTATGTTCTGTGGCTCCCAGTGGATGCCTGAAACTGCAGACAGTACCAAACCCAGTATGTATTTTTTTCCTATGCATATACACCTATGATAAAATTTAGCATGATAAAAAATGAGAATGATTTAACAATCAATCATGTACCAGATGTTTTTATCAATGACAGACTACATATACAACAGAGGTCCCACAAGATTATACCAAATCTGAAAAATTCCAATTGCCTAGTGAGTGACAGTGAATCCCTCATCACATCAAGCATCAAACAACCTCAAATCTGGGGTGATGCTAGTGCAAACGGACACTGTGTTGTGTCCATCATGTAAAAACACAGCACACAGTTATATACAGCATGTCATACTTGAAAATGGAACTGGGGATGTCGATAAGGGGTAAAGCACTTGTCTACATGTTCAAGGTCCTGAGTTCAATCTGTAGGATGGCAAACAAACCAAAAGCCCAAAAACTTGAAAATGATAATAAAAATCAACTGTGTGCTGGTTTGTATATTATACTATCCTTTTTTCATTAGAGTACACCACTTGTAAAAAAAAAAGTTTACTGTAAAACAGTACACTGTGTTATGCCAAAGGGAGCCTCATACACCTTGTTTGCAGTATCTCTTTACTACATCAAGAAGCCGGCAAATGATTAACCCATACTACCTTGTCTGTGAAGGATACTCCTCAATATCAGCACAATGGTGAAAGAGCCCTTGGGCCAGTGATTTAGCTCAGTGGCATAAGCGCCTGCCTGACAAGCACTAGGTTGAGTTTGATCCCCATAACAAAAAAAAAAAGAGCCCAATGATACATTTTCCAAAGTGTATCTCTACTGTTAAGCCAAGTGCACATATATACTCTAATAAAGTATGTGAATATGGTTTCTCATTTCTGAGTATCTGAGAGCATACCCACCCTTCTTGTAACGATATGAGATGATACCTAAAGGAAGCTCTTTACATTTGACATCTTTGAACTGACCACTACTCATGCACACTGGGGTCATTCATGTTACTTGAGGCTGAGGATTTAGCTCAGTGGCATAAGCGCCTGCTTGCAAGCAGGCAGTCATGAGTTCGATCCCCGGTACCAATAAAAAGGAAAAAGAAAAAAAAAAAAAGAAAAAAGAAAAACAAACATGTTACTTGAACACAAGCGCTACTGTACTCCAACAGTTGATTTGATTCCCAAGACAGCTACTAAGACATTAATGGGCGGGTGATGTATACTATATGGGTGACATTGGAAAAAGATAACTCACATCCTAAACGAGACAAAATGGAAGGTGTGAGAGGTCATCATATTGCTCAGAATGGAATGCCATTTAAATTACTTCTGAATTACTTAGGTTTGGAATTTTTCATTTAATATTTTCAGACCACAGTTGATTCCAGGCAACTGAAACCTCAGAAAGCCAAACCGTGGATAGATCTAATCTATATCTTGACTTAACTATATCTGTAACACATAAAAAAGAAAACCACCATTACCTTCAAGTAAAAAGAGTATTTTATTCAATACCTTAATATTGAAATCAGCTATCATACATATACATTGACTCTTATTGTCTGCCTTGCAGCAGATATTCAAAGTGTGATTACTTTGATGCAGCATCCTTACAAATCTAGAGCATCATTTCTCAACTCCAAATTTAGCAAGGTCCTTTAGTAAGTTACCTCTTATTCACTGTGTTATGCTATGTATGAAATAAATTAGTGCAATTAAGAGTGAAATACCCTATAGATTTGGATTTGTCATCCCAATTCCTTGGCACTCAATAATGTAAGTGTCTTTAGAGGCATCTTCTTCATCTTCTGATTTCTTCACAGTAAATTTAGCCTGAAAGCAGAAGAATATTTACTATAAAGACAGAAGAGCGAGCCTTTAACTCCTACTTATGTAGGCAGTGATAGTACCAAACACATTTGCTGAAGAAACTAGACACAAAAATCAAATGATTCATAGAAAATTCAATAGCTAGAGATAACATGTAGTTCCAGAACTGCCGTTCTTTCTCGTTTTTGTGGAGTTCTGTCAGAATAAATATGCCTAGGTCCCACTCTATATCCACTGAATCAGAAGCCCCAGGAGGGTAATCAAGGCAAGTTCAATTTTGAAATCTGAACTTATGGTTATAAGATACCTCTCTGTGTTCCCTAAAATTTCTGTGAAATGTAGAACTGAAACATTTAACATTTATCTTGCCAAGTATAAAATTATCATTAAATGTCACTAAATTTGTCCTGCCAATTTAATTCCCTAAACACATTATTCAAACAGACCTAGTTCAGAGATGGGAGGGAAGAAGGCAGTGTGATGGTATAAGCAGCATTTTCATTTTCTTTCTCTCTTTTTTTTTTTTTTTTTTTTTTTTTGAGATAGAGTCTCCTTGAACTCACAGCAATCCTCCTGCCTCAGCCTCCCAAGTACTGGGATTATAGACATGTACCACCACACTGGGCCATCATTTTTGTGCATGTTGATCAAATCCAGGCCCTTGCACCAACCACTCTACTACTGAGCCACATCTCAAGCCTTTTCTCTGATATTTATTGGAATTAACACTGTATTTTCACTTGTTGAGGCTGCTTTGAAATATCTGATGTCTGTATTTAGGAAACATGATCATTTTTAAATCATACTGCTCATTTTAGTTTTTGTTTTGTTTTGTTGAGACAGGTCTTCAGGCATGTACTTCAAGCTGGCCTCAAACTCACTATATAGCTTAGGCTAGCCCTGAACTCAAGGCAATCCTCCTACTTCAGCCTCCTGAGTGCTGGGACTGATTACAGATGTGCGCCACCATGCCCAGATTTGAAACATTTAATAAAATCGAATTAAAGAAATTCAAAATTTAATCAAATTGAATTAAAATCAAAACAACTATGTAGACTGTGGCAAAGAAACTGCAAGTATGATTAAAATCTTATGATTCTTTGAATTTAAAAACGATCATTCTGGGGCCATACCGAATAGTAATGTTCACAAATTCTTTTAGTTTTAGTATTATGTGATAGCATACTGACACACAGTGGACATCTGAAATTACTGTAGAATAAATGAACATTGAATACTGAGCTAGATAACCAATTTTTTTATGTAGTTATAACATGTGTGTTCACTAGTTATAACATGTGTGTTTACTTTTTCTCATATTGCCTACACTGTGAAATACCACCAACAGTTATGGAAATCATTTCTAGTCTACATTTAAATCTACTTAAGCGCCTTAAGAAACTGACTAGATCAAGTGTCTGAGTTTACAAATGTACTACTGCATTGAGGCACAGAAAAATAACTTGCTTCAACCCAGTGAAAATACAACAAAACTGAATAAAGCTAAGTGAGAACTTCACAGAACTTGCCTTAATGTAGTCACATCAAATAACATGAAGCAAACTGTACTAGAGATGTGGAAGTGCCTACTACAGTACATGCAAAGTGCTGTAAAATGTGAATAAAATTTGCTCCTTGCTATAGAGATCAGTCTACAAGAGACAGACAAGTAGTTGCTATAAACACAGGATAAGCATTTTAAAATTGTTAACTTTTCATCACCAGACATGATTTACCTTCAACTGTCATCAGACTTTTCCTACAGTTTAACTAAAACCTACTTTTCTTTATGGCAACAAATACTCTCAATATTATTAAGAACCATACTAAACGCAACAGTAGGGCAATGGTTTTGCACTTAGTATACATCTGTGCTGCTTCTCTTTTTAACTAGTGTACATTACTTGTAAATTTTTAAAAATGCTTCAGCACCCTCCTATCTAAAACTGAGTCATAAATTTTATGACTTTACAAAGATATATTATACAGACAATACCAAAACAAAAAAATGCTACATATTATAGAAAAAAGCAAGAAATGAAGATGCACATAGTAAAAAATGGAGAGAGACAATTTAAGTAGAAAACACTTAAATTTTAAAAGTGATTTTACTGGCAAGGGAAAATTACTGTGTATTTTCTATAAGGAAATTAGTATTAGTTTTGTGATGACACTAATTACTCTTTTGTTAAAATTAAAAACAGTACCAAAAAGGTACAAATGAGATTAAATGTCAAATTGTAAATCTACTCTTCTAAATTTAAAAGGATTAATAAGTATTAGTATCTCAGCAAATATTCCACAACAGAATCAGAAGAAAAAGGTCTTTAAATTTTATATAAATATTGAATCCTTTGTGACATCACCTTTCTATCCACACACACTTTCTTATTCTGTCACATAGTACCACGGGGCTTTTAACACGGGCCTTGAAGTATGCTTCCCCAGGTTTGCTCAAAGCCCAGCTCTGCCACTAAGAAATGACATGGGATCAGACAATTTAACTTCCCTAATTTACTTAACGCATACATAAAATGGGAATAACAACAAATAGTCACCTATGCTTCAGATAATTCAGATAAGATGCTTCAAATAATCGCTGAGTTACCAAGTGCCTGCCACATGCAAGCACTAAGGTGACAGCAGTTCTGATCATTACTGAATTTCTTGCTTATTAAAATACGACCAAATTACTCCTTCTAATAGAATACTCACCTTTGCTAGTTGTTCAGCAAAATGTATAGCTGTCTGTGTATGTAGTGTAACTGGTCCTGTTTTTATTCTGGAAACTCCATTGGCTAATGCCATGAAAACAATCAGCTATTGAAAAAAGAAAGAAGAAGAAAATTCTCATACATTTATTAGTATTTAGATTATAATTTTACTGTTGTCTGTAATGAAAATACTAGAAATCAAAACAGCTAAAAAAATTTCTATTTCTTCAGATTTCCACAAATTCTTAGAAGAAGACAGAAAATCTGTGTTATCCAAAATTAGGTGTGTGGAATAGAAATGCTTACCAGCAGCTGTCAATACAGAATGGGGGCAGGTGGGATGGCAGTTTACTGCGGATGGAACCTAGGGCCTTCACACTGAGCTCTTCTTCAGCCCTTTTTAAAAATTATTTTGAGACATAGTCACACTAAGTCCCTAAATTGCCCAGGTGGGACTTGAACTTCTTTTTTTTTTTTTTTTGTCTTTTTCATTTTTATCGGTACCAGGGATCGAACTCACGACCGCCTGCTTGCAAGGCAGGTGCTTATGCCGCTGAGCTAAATCCCCAGCCCCGGGACTTGAACTTCTAATCTTCCTGCCTCTGTCTCCCAAAATACTAGATTACATGTTTATGTCAACACACACACTTCAATATTGAAGTTTTAAAGTTAATGTTAAGAATAAAATATGGAGTTGAAAGTTGATATGGAATTAGACCAACTATCTCTGCAATTGGTATATGTAAAATATAAGTTTCTCCTACCTAGTCTTTAAAATTTTTTGAATGGCAATAGACTAATACAGAATTACTAGGATACAGAATAAATCTGAGCAAGAACGAAATAACTGGACATTAAAAACAGTGGTTATAAGAAAATGGTTACTGAAAACAAACCCAGACCTCATGCACCTTAGACGAAAAAGAGCTCCACCACTGAGCTGCATCTACAGACCAAAGAATACATTTCTCCCATCCAAGTACTAACCAGGCCCAACCCTGCTTAGCTTCCAAGATCAGACAAGATCGGGCGTGTTCAGGGTGGTATGGCCGTAGACAAAGAATACATTTCTAAATGTAGACTGCTGATTTGAGGGTAAAGAGGGAAAAGTTATGCTGGGAAGGAAAATACACGAAGAGAACAAAGGATCTTATTTAGAAACATTTAATAACACTCCCAAAATGAGCAAATGTCTTAAATTTGAGAAGTGGATAAGATTTGCAGGTGGAGATACTGGCAAGCATGGGGACATAATGAATAAGGAGTTAAGAAGAAAGGTCTAAGCAGGGACACAAACTTAGGAGCTGTCAGCATCCAAATGGTATTTCAGCCTGGACAAAATAAGGGAGTGAATATAGATAACAGAAAGAGGCACGAGGCCTCTCTAAAATTCAGAAGTTGACAAGGAAACAATCTAGCAAAGAAGACCAGGATAAGGAGGCCGGTTAAGGGGAAAGATAACATTATTTCCGACCAAGTGAAGCCAGAATTTCAAGAATAAAGTAACTGCCAAATGCTATGAATAGATCAAGTAAGACATAGATACAAATATGAGAATATAAATTCCAAGGGGATACTTATAAATAATTTAAGTAGGATTCCCTCATCAGTGTCTGAAGACCAATACAGTAAAGTACCTGACTTACAACATTTGAGTCATGAACTTTCACAAGTACCCTGTGTAAGACTCTTTCTATCAGCTTACAAATGAATTGAACTTACAAACATTCTCCTGGAATGGAACTCAATCATAAGTCAGGAACTTAATGTAATTTAATTTATACTCGATCTAATTTCTGAATGTACAAGTCTCACAGGCTGGCAGGTTTTCATCCTCAAAGTGTCATTACCTGATCTTGCAGGTACTCATCCACAGTTCCACCATGTCTAAGATTTGCTAATAGCATTTCGGCAGCTTCAATCCCAACCTTGTCTGCATTAACACCTAAGAGAGGAATAATGTGAAAAAAAAAAAAAAAACCTAAGTTAATTACTGCAAGTCAACAGGTTTGACAAATCCCACTTAGCACTGGTACATTTTTTTAGGTGTCTAAATTTATAAGATGCAAATTTTAGGATAAGCCCTTCTGCGGACTTGGCATATGCAAACAGGTTCTATCTTTAAATACACAGGTAGAAAAAAGAAACAGGCTGCTTTGGCCTGTTTAAAAGTACTAATTATAAAGCCAGTTTATAACTAAGTTATGACCCTCTAATGGTGTGCCTCAATTTCAAACTTTAAAAGTCAAGATTATACAAGTTAGAATTCGCCAGGCATCAGAATTAAAAGATTTTTAATACTCAGGGAATTAATTTCAACTAAAGAAAAGCAAATAACATTCTCAGGTCAACTATTTTAAGGTTCTATTCCCTTTAAGATTTAAACAGATGTAACAAATGAACATCAGAATATTTACCCCTTCTACTTCCTATCTCTTCACACATACACCAAACCCTCGAGTAAAAATAAGCCTATCAGAAGTAATATAATTTTTCAAATTAACTCGCTTAAGGTTATTCTTCACTACAAATGTGGCAGTCTTGTTCCCACAAGTATTTTAATTTGCAACTTTATTTAACTCTTTTTTATAGCAGGTATTACAATAATAAAGTTTTTCATTACCAATTGGTCAAATATTAATATGGCTGTACGAAATGGTTTAAAATATGTTGTGCTATACAAATCTTGATCTTCCTGCCTTTCTGGTGCTGAGGCGACAATCTAAGGCCGTACGCATACTACACACATGTATGTTCTACCAGAGGTATGTGAGCTGCACTCTCTGCCCCAGCATTTTTTTTTAAATTTACAATTCATTTAATGACAACTGGTAACTGCAGAATTTCCTGACTTAGGTCACACATTCTTTAGACAAATCTGAAAATTCACCCTATTTAGACCTGATTTATCAGCAGCATTTATAAAACCAGACCTAGGGAAAGATCAAGGTCTGGGGACACATGCATGGTCTTACTATAGCAAATGTTTAGCCTGCCCTGATTATGACACAATCAGAACAGCGAGAATATTTGCAGACCCCTAGCATTCTTAAATAAGCTGCTGAGCCTCTTCTAGTTCTTTTAGATGAAGATGATAATAGCTGTCACAAAAATAGAGACAATATTTATAAAGAATCTTTTCCCAAGATCAATCCATAATAAGCTATTAATGATAACAGTAGTACTGCGTACTCAGTATTACTTGTTCCTTTGTTAAGGAAGTATAAAACATACTCATGTTTCCCTAAAAATAAAATCTAACTGGGAAAAAAAAAAAAAGCCAGCCCCAGGCTCAGTGGCTCAAGTGTTTGCCTGGTAAGCACAAGGTTGTGAGTTTGATCCCTGACCTTCTAGGGCTGGTTCTGGTTAGGCTGGTCATTAGGTCTTATTTTCAGGAAACATGTTAGTCATGTGTTAAAGAATTAGAGGATAGTGAAGTGTTAAACTCTTCAATATAAATCATATATACAACAGGAGTTTAGAGAAGGAAAAGCCAGTTAGGTTCTAGAATTATTTCAGAAGGTTTTATAGAGCATGAAGGACTTAAGCAGGTTCTTGAAAGATGACTAAAATTGGGATGAAGGACGTGAGAGAAGTCTTGGCTTTATAACATAGGTTAAACATCCTTAATCTGAAAATCTGAAACTCAAAATGCTCCAAAGTTTCAAACTTTTTGAAGACTGACTTAACACAGGAAGTGGAAACTTCACACTATGAAACTGTTTCAACCCACAAAATTATTTAAAATACTATATAAAATTATCATTACATTATGCGTATGAAATGCATATGAAACAAGTTAACTTCATGTTTGGACTTAGGCTCATTCCAAGATATTTCACTATTATATGCAAATATTCCAAATCTAAATAAATTAAAAAATCAAACACTCTGTTACCACGCATTTCAGTTAAAATATTCCAAACTGGATTGTACAGTCCAAAGAACACTAAAGTTTTCTGTCAAGAGGCAAAATATTTCTCAGAGCCATTCATATTCCTTCCTACTCAACAGTGAATGATGAAAGGGAGGATCTACATTATTATCAGTTATTATTACTTCTAGCAGACTGTGGTAACTGAACAAATGATGAACATGTGAGAATTCTGCTTATCAGTATAATGCTTTCCTCTCTTCCCAAAGGAACAAAATTTTAAATGTCAATGCTTTTTGAATTGACAAATAATCTGATATTTTCAGTGCTTCTTTAAAAAGCAGTGTCTTTAATTTTAATGTGTGTTTGTTTTCTTTTCTTTCATTTTACTTTGTAGTACTGGGCACTGATCCCAGGACCTTCTCACTGAGCTCTATCCCCACCTCTTTTTTTTAATCTTTTGAGACAGGGTCTCACTAAATTGCCAAGTTGCCCAAGCTGGGCTTGAATTTATAATCCTTCTGCTTCAGCCTCCTATAACATTAATGTTTTACAATACAGGATATTAAAATGAATGCTCACTGATGTGGGTATCTACTAGCTTGTTAAAAGGACAAAAAATACAAAATGGCTATCAGATTGAACAGAAAACATGAAGAAACTTACTTTAGGATATCAGAAATATATATGAATTAATCATATAAAGTACTTCCTATGAGCCAAGAAACAAGACTGATTAGTTAGAGGCATAATTCATCTTAGCAGATTGCTATGCTCTAATACTAAACAACATAATAAACTGAAAGACAAGAATAAACAAGCAAGAATGGGGCTATAGTTAGGTGGTAAAGTGCTAGTCAAGCATACAGGAGACCTAGCACTTCAAGGGGGAAAAACAAAGAATAATCAAACAGGGGGCTGGGGGTTTAGCTCAGCGGCATAAGCACCTGCCTTGCAAGCAGGCGGTCGTGAGTTCGATCCCCGGTACCGATAAAAATGAAAAAGACAAAAAAAAAGGAATAATCAAACAATGAACAGATATTTAGTAACAGAAAGACAAAATATATTCTTTCCTTTTCTTTTTTTTCCCCCCAAGGGGCCAGACATTGAACCCAGGGATTCTCATATACTCAGTAACCACTGTATGCTCCAACCAATCAAGTTATATCCCTAGCTCTACACTGTGTTCATAATGTAATTATATAAAGTTGGGAAGTATCCTAGGTAATCATTATTTAATCTCATTTTTCAGTTAAGAAAATCCCAAAATACATAGGATAATTTAGACAGAGAACTAAAATTTAAGTCTTCCTGCTATTAGTTTTCTATTATAACATACTGCTTCAATTCAAAACATCAAGATTTAAATAAAATGTCACCATTTTTACAGATTTGAAGAATGTTACAGCTGGAAAGCCAGGTGTGATGGCACACATCTGTAATCTCAGCACGCATAAGGCTGAGTCAGGAGGATTACCACAAATTCCAGGCCAGCCTGGGCTGCACAGAGTTCAAGGCCATCCTGAGCAACATAGCAAGATCCTCCCTCAAAAAAAACAAAAAAAACAAACCTACAGCCAAAAGGATTCTAGGGATACTTCCAGGTAACTGTCTAATCAAAATAGTTTTAGTAACTAAGACAATGATAAAAACATGACTAGTTCCAACTTCCTGTGGCTACCGTATATGCTGTAATAACCAGCTAATGTTGCATTTGGTAAAAACTCTTAAACATCAGGATTCAGTGCCCAGTACCTTTCCAGTTAATTTAAATCAGAAATGAGAGAGGACTTAGATAATGAAGGTTATGATATTATCTCTGAGATCATTAATATACAGATGACCTCCATTTAGAAAAAAGATCCCAAACTGCCTTTCCATTTACTAACAACATTCCCCTTGGCTGACACATCTAACAGGAAACAAGAGAAAGTACCAGAAGAAACCAATAATCTCAGCAAGTCTGTTGCTTTTTTTTCACTGCTGTAAGTCTAAGAATAAGTAATACACACTCTACATGTGTACTATCCAAAAACAACTTCAAAGTAAATGTTATTTTCTCACAAAATGAGAAAGAAAATATTGATAGAATATCAGGAAAAATTTTCAGGGCTGCTCAACAAATTCCATGTAAAAGAACTACAGAATAATGGTCCTTTACAATGTCAATGAGACACAGCTAAAATTATCATGTACCCTGGCAAAATACCTCTTACATACACAAGCTGCAAATATGCATCCATTACTAAGACATTTACAAGGTCACTCTTCACATTTCTTCCTGACCTCCCGCATCCAATGGGAACAAACTGTCTATTAACCTTTCTAAATAAACTACTACTAGTCAGTACTCACTTCTCTAGTGGTAGTTACATTCTGTGATGCATAACCTCCCCATTAGGGGGCTGAGTTGTAATAGACTCTGGTCTTTCAACCTTCAGCATGGCTTTCTTTTAATTCTTTATACAGCATAAAGTATGAGAACTAATTTCCAAAATATCTCTCATCCCTCCTTAAAATTTTTATATTCTTAGGATGAAACATAAAACTTCTTTTCAGATGTCAACAGCCTTTCGGACTCTGGCCTTTGTTAATCCCATCTCATCATTCTCTATCAATATATCCAGACCCTGTACTCAAGCGTACTTAAAGTTGCCTAAACACAGAACATGCTTTTGTGTCAGCATTTGCCTTTGTCCCTCATTTTCCTCAGTTCTCTTTTAAAAAATATAGATATATCTAAGATATAAATATAATGCTAAGGACACTTCTATAGTAACACAGTTACTTTAGTGAAACTAATTAACATCACCACCATCTTGCACGGTCACTCAGTTTTCCTCCAATGGCAAGAACTACAAGCTACTTATCTAGCAAAAATCCTGACTGTAATATTTTATCCAGGCTCTTGTACATGGTAGGCAAGTGCTCTACCAGCGAGCTAAGCCACTGAGAATTAACAATAGGTCTAGGATAAGTCCCAAAATTTGTATTTCTAAAAATTTCAAATGATACTGACACAATACCTATCTACTAGCTACACAAAAAAGCAGAGTTTTAAACAGAATTCATTCATGGTGAGGTCAACTAGAAATGTTAATTTTATTTATTCAGTCACTGATGCATAACTAGTATCTAGTCTACACACTGACCAAACTAAGACAATACACTTTTATACTTAGTGGTAATAATGAGATCAGACAGCACAGCTATGTTAAACATTTTTAAAGATAATAGTACAAAGTACAAATAAAGTAATCAGCTATTACAAACAACTAGAAATTCTCTGACTGGTTAAAAGTAACTGTAAATATTAACAAACAAATATATGGAATTATTTTTTCTCCTTAAAATGCAAATCTTTAACATTTCCCTTTCCCAAAAATATTTAGTATTTTCTAATCACCAGTGTAATAACTGGCACAGGAAAGAATCACAGTAACTGTCAGAACCACTGGCTTGAATTGTATGGAAATAAGATAATCCGAATACTTCAAGGTATTGTCCCACACTACTTATTAATTGTGAAGGGAAAAGGAATCTTTATGGCATAGCAAACATTTCAATGAGCCCTCCCTTAATCATGTGATCAGCCTTGCCAATAAAGGACAAACTGACTGTATGGGTCCCATGATGCAGTGCAGGGACATGTACACAAAATTACTTACAAAATATTCTCACTTAAAATGTTTAATCAGAATAATCTGATTATGAGATAATTATGCAAATCCAAATCGTGGGATATTCTGTGAGAAAATGGCTTAGAGTTTTCAAAATGTCATTTACACCATGCAAGGAAAAAAAAAAAATAGTAAAGAGAATATTCTGTACTAAAAGACAGACTAAACAGACATGACTACCAAATGCTCTGTGTGCTTTAAAAACGCAGAAAGCCAGACACGGCAGAGCACTACTTTTACTCTAGTACCTGAGAGGCTGAGACAGGGGAATCAGGAGGTCAAGGCCAGCATAGGTTAGAGCCTGTCTCAAAAAACTAAAAACCAGGGGCTAGGGATTTAGCTCAGTGGCATAAGCGCCTGCCTTGCAAGTGTGTGGTTGTGAGTTTGATCCCCAGTACTGATAAAAAAGAAAAAGACAAAAAAAAAAAAAACTAAAAACCAAACTGACCAGACCCCCACAAAAAATCCACACATGGCTCTATGGCTCTAAACACCATTTTGGAGACGGCTTGTGAAGTCCAGGTATATCTGGTATAAATACACACAATGAACAAATTCTTCAGGTGGAAGAGTATTGGGATTAGACAGGCAGCATCCTTTGGACATACGTATAATGCTGCAGTACTCAGGAGTGAGTAGTGTCTGTAACTCACACTGAAATGATTCAGAAATATAAACAGTACATAGCCAGATGTTCAAGACTGATGAATCCAGGAGATGTGTTGATGACTAGCTGAAGTAGGCATATAACTTTTCTATAGGTGTGAAAAAAAATTTTCTGTTTGTTTTTTTAAGACAGAATCTCAATTATGTAGCCCAACCTGGACTTGAACTCATGGTAATCCTTCTGCCTCAGCCTTGGAAGTGCTGGGATTACAGGCACGTGCCACCACACCTAAATAGATGTGAAAAATTTCCAAGTATAAAGTTAGAAGAAAGATTTAAAAGTTTAATTGACTCAAAAACAGAATTAATTATCCATATCTTCTTAAACCTGTCATCAATCATTCTCTATAACACAACAATCCTGACAAAGAACTTTACATCAGTCTTATCATTTATATATACCTCGTTTACCAAGCGATGATCCAGCAAACAAACAGCCAGTGGATGTCTCAGCAATAATACTATTAAAAAAAAGTAAAATATTATTACTTTTGCTTACACATATCATAAAATAACATGAAAACACCACACAAGTAATTAATTACTATTAAACAGCAAAAATACATCTAACCAGTACATTCTACTAGAGAAATTCTTTCTAGAGTGTACTATGATTAAATTTAGACTCTTCCCAACAAGCTCATTGTTTGAAAGCTGGAGATTTTGAAAGGTGATTGGACCCTGAGGTGCCATACTCATTGGTGGACTGATCCATGGATGAGTTTATAGCTGCACGTGCTCGTAGGAGCTGGGTCTGGTTGAAAGCAGCCTGTATTTGGGTCCTGACCTTGGAGGGTTTATCTCTTCCCCAGCTTGTCCCTTCTCTCTCTGCATGAGCTAAGCACTTTTTTCTGCCATGCGCTTCCATCATGCTGTTTCTGCCTTGGAGCCAGGAAACCACAGACTAAAACCCTAACCCATGAGCCAAATTAAACCTTTCCTCCTATATGGATGTGAGGTCATTTTGTCCCAGGACACGAAAACTCTCTAATATACAGAGTAATATGATTAACTTTCTCCATCAGCCTTAACCAGGCCATTAATATCTTTCACCACTTAATGGAGAGAAGTTATATCAGATTCTAACCCACTTACAGGTAAAACGATTACCCTTTCCACCCTAAGTCACTGTGTTATCACACTAAGTGGTACCACATCAGAGACATGTAGTACTATAAATTTCTTATCTTATACAGAAAAGTTTTTATGAAGAGACTTTGGCTTTGTTTCACCGTTTTTACATTGTTTTATCAAAACTAGGGCAAGCATTTACTTTAAGCACTTTAATGGAATCTCTAAATAAAAAGGTTTGAAATTTGAATATCCACAAAGAACACAGTACTTTTAGACTTCCAAAGATATAAGGAATTTTTATAATATTAAATCCAAGTAATCTTAATTAGATTAGTGGAACAGTTATGTTTCTTTTTGAAAGAAATCTTTATCATATCATTGATTTATGAATTAATTTCACATTTAAGGTATTTTAAGCAACTGGAAATATTTGAGGATCACCTTCAAAGTCCAATTTCTGATTAGCTTAAAAACTTCACTATAAACCAGGTGTGGTGTACACCTCTAATTTCAGCACTTGGAAGGCTGATGGACGATCACTGCAAGTTTGAGACCAGCCTATGATACTCAGTGAGTTAAAGGCCAGCTTGGACTCCATGGCAATATTCTGTATCAAAAAAACTTCACTATGGTTATTCCTTTTTACCCAGAGAAATTGGTTCCAAGACCTCCATGTGGATATCAAAATCCAGGAATGTTCAAGTCCTAATATAAAACAGCATAATGTTTAACCTATACACATCCTCTTGTATACTTTAAGTCATCCTTGCATTACTTATAATATCTAATACAATGTGTAAGATTATGTAAATACATGTTATACAGTACTGCTTAGGAAATGACAAAAAAAAAAAAAAAAAAAAAAAAAAGCCTGTACATGTTTAGTACAAAATAACTTCATTTTTCAGTATTTCTGGTCAGCAGTTGTTTGTATCCAAAGATGCCAAATCCACGAATGTGTACAGCTGACTGTAAGACCAAAAAGAACCTTACAAAGTAATAAAAGGCAAGCAATCCTCAGAAAAGAAAATTAGAATAACCATCTTACTTCATCATACTGCTTTTTAGGTAAGAATACTCTTAAAAATATACCCTCTTAAAATTATAAATTTAACAAAACAAAACTTATATATAATAATTTTATGGCTTGATTTATAAAGATCCTCCAAAGGCTCACATGTTGAAGTAGCTGGGGTCCAGTGGAGAGATGGGAGATCAGCAGAGAGGGTGCCGCTAGGGAAGACTGGAAGCCCAGGCACTGCCTCTGTCTCTGCTTCCCTGTCGATAGATGAGCAGCTGTGCCCACCAAATGCTCCCTGCCTCACTATCAAGCAAAGCCAACCATCCACTTCCAAAATCTCTGAAACCCTAAACTAAAATAAATCTTTTCTCCTTTTATTTTAAAACAAAAAATAATAATAATACACAACTTAAAAACAAAATAATAGATTAACTGGTTAATATATTGTATATTGTTATCTTCAAAGCAGTTGCTCAGATTATAAGATACAGGCATGAAAAAATGATCAAACAATACAAGAACTGCTCTTTTTGCTGCACTGAGATTACTAGTATAATTATTTACCATGTGTGTATGTGTATCTTTTCCCTTCTTTTTTCTGTTCTCCCATCCCAATTGTTTTTTCATTTTGAGCAATTTCTTCCCCTTTCTCCTTTACAATATCTGTTGTGCATTTTGGGCCTTAATTACTCTATCAATTTTTTACAATAGAGAGACAATATGATGCTTACACATGCAAGTCTAATTTATTTCACTTTTAAGTATGGCCTCAGGTTGCATCCATTTACCTATGAAAGCCTCAAGTTTATCCTTCTTTATAGTTGAGTGATACTCCCTCATATAAAAATATCACATCTTTCTTAACTACTCTTCAGGTAAGGGGCAATGGGTTGTTTCCAAGATTTTTTTTTTTTTTTTTTTTTTGTCTTTTTCATTTTTATCGGTACCGGGGATCGAACTCACAACCGCCTGCTTGCAAGCAGGTACTTATGCCACTGAGCTAAATCCCCAGCCCCTGTTTCCAAGATTTAGCTATTACAAATTGTGCTGATATAAACATGGATGCACATATATTGCTGTGGCATGATGTTTTCAATTCTTCTGGAAAAATACCCACAAGGAGAATAACTGGATCAAATAGGACCTCCAATCCTAGTTTTTTGAGGAATTTCCACACTGATTTCCACAGTGGTTTACCAGTGTACACTCCCGCCAACAGTGGAAAAGGGTACCTTTTTCCCCACATCCCTGACAGCATTTGTTACTGCTTGATTTCATGATGCTAGCCATCTTTCTGGAGATAGAATCTCAGTGTTTTTTAATTTAAATTGTTTATCTTGAAAGTATTTTGTCACAAATACAGAAAACTGGCTAGTAATAATTATTTCAGGGCTCTTATCCAATGTCTAAAAAATGTACATTTTCTCACATTATTCCATTTCCATTGCCAAATGCTTGGTCCTTGGGTTCCTGAACAGGCTGAATGTTCACATACAGGTCTCTGATCTCCTTTCTGATGCATCGTACAGCTGCCGCCGCCATATCTTTTGCTACCTATTTTCACAATAAACAATGGAAAACAATGCAGCAATTATTATTTGGACAACTGTTTTCAAACGTAAAGACATATCAAATAATTACCTTTATACTTAATATTTAAAATTTTGATTTTCAAGAATCTAGACATCATTACCTTTTTAAAAATCGTATTGAAAAGATGGATTAAAAGCTGATTATAAATTTTAGATGACATAATAGATAAGTACATACATCTAAGAACATTTAAACAACTTACTTTAAATGGCAAAACACCAGCAACAAAAGCTCTTCCGTATATCTTAGTCACAGAGCCACGATCAGTTAAATTTATTGGGTTCAACTGTTTAATGGGTGACATTCGAAGGATCACTTCTCCGCCCCCTTTTGGGTAATAGCCCCTACAAAAAGCATAACAAATACCTCCATAAACCAACTGCAAAAGAAAATGAAGCTCATTATTACATTAAAATAATGTGATTAATATTGAGACAAGAAATGTATGAAAGTTCTAAATAATATTTTAGGTCTGGTCTGTCCAAAATAGCTAAACAACTATTAAAATGAAGTTTATGACTAGAGGTGCAGCTCAATGGTAGAGAGAATCCTTATCATATGCGAAACCCTAAATTCAACCTCAGCACCAACACAAATGTGGTGGTACTCCCTGCAGCTCCAGTTACTTGGGAAGCTGAAGCAAGAGATCTCTGGAATCCAGAAGTTGAAGGCCAGCCTGAGTCACATAACAAGACTCTGCCTTCACAAAACTAACTAAATCAAAGTCCCAATTTTTTGAATACAAAATAAAATTTAGAAATCAATTCATTAGTTATATTAGCCATCTTTTAACTGCTCAACAGTACATTTGGCTAATGGGATATTTCCCATTAGATAGCAGAGACATAAACTATTTTCCTCAGTGTAAAAAGCTCTACTTGACAGTGATGTCAGGGGAGTCTGTATAAGTTCCTTCATCTGGAACTGTTCTCTTTCTGCTATTTGTCAGGGCCTAAGATAAGATCTGGCAATGGTAGGAATTCAAATCAGTACATGATGGATATTTAAGTAACTGAACACTAATAAAATTTTAATTCAAACATTTACCGTCATTTACTCTATCACAGATGCTAAAACAACAGTGCTTCTATTCTGAAGGAATTCTCTATCAGGGTGATGGTCCCACAGCCTACTAGAAAATAAGTTGGGATGTGACAGGGGAATACAGCAGAAGTGCAAATACGAATTCCAACGAAGGTATGAGCAGTTCAATTAAAAAATTGTAATTTACTTTTAAATAAAAAAGTACTTCCAATATCGAGGAGAACAGGTAAAGAATAACATGTTCAAAGAGGTGAGATGCAAAGCACAAAGTATGTTCAGAGCAACCAGCAACCATGTAGTTAGAATGTATAACAAACTAAAATCAGGGGCAGGAAGACAAATTTGGGATTTACCTTTCTAGGTAAACTGGGGCAAGTTTGCAAAGCACTGAAATGCCATTTCAATCTTGTTATAGTGTAACAAAAGGTAACCCTTTAAGAGAAATTATCTGAATGATGTGTTTCTTAGGAAACTAATTGTGATTACACTACAGAGAAGAATCTCTTACCACCCTGTAGTACATACTCCAGTATCTACACATAGTAAATCATTTGATATGTTCAGGTGAGTAGTAACACTAGATGTGAAGGAATTTCCATGCTGAAATTCCTTGAAAATACTTCTCCCAAGAAACATACGAGTATCACATGTAGCTGATCTTAAGACTTCACATCCCTACAGCTTACTGTTGACAAAATACATTTCGTATAAGAAATGTAAAGCACAATGTACTAAGTATATAAGAATGAAAGTTCTCTAAAGTTAAACTTCTCCACTATTTTTAAAAGCCCAAGTAATGGATCAAAAGGACAAGAAGTAACTTACCTCATTTTAATGTCACAATTAAAACTGAAACCAAATTTTTCAACGATTGGCTTGAAGACCTGAAAAATCAATTGTTACTTTAGCCACCAATATTCACTGTTACAACAATTATTAAATGAAAAGTGCTCTGTACTAAGGTGCTACAGGTAAATAAGACATCAGGGATATGTAAGCTAGATCCATTTTTCAAATGAAAAAATTGGTATGTAGCTAAATTTAAAGGTTTAACATTAATCAGAGCTGTTCAAGACAATCCAATAAAAAAAATTGGAACTCAGGATACTTGTTCCCAGTGGTTATTTGATTCCAGAGGTCAGTATTTACTAAGCCTTCTCAATGTTCTCTACATTAGAAGAAATTAGGGGGGCTGGAGGTTTAGCTCAGCGGCATAAGCGCCTGCCTTGCAAGCAGGCAGTTGTGAGTTTGATCCCCGGTACTGATAAAAAGGAAAAACACAAAAAACAAGAAGAAGAAGAAATTAGGGGAAACTGATGAACATTATTATATTTTGTTTTCTCAGTTTTTAAATACAATTGAAATCTCACTGTACATACAATATTTTATCCTTGTTTTTTCAATTATTATAAACACAAGAATCTTCCTAACATCATAAAATCATTAATTATTTGGATGATTACATGACAACCAAGCATAATGTAATTATTTAACCTTTTCTAAGTTAAATAATGATACATATTACCTAATACTAATTATAATTTATATAATGCCCTGTTCAAATACTTTTTGAACATTTAACCTTTGCTTCATTTTGTAATATTTAATTAGGGTAGTTTCTTTGAAGTGGAATTACTAAAGAGAAAATAACTTTCATTATATATTCTATCACACTGACCTTAAAAAAAGACTCTACTATAAATTACAATGCCTATGTTTCACAAAAAGACAGAATTTAAGACTAAAGTCTAAGGCAACTCTTGAGATCTGTTAGAGATTTACTCAGTTCTCTGGGTTATCTCTCATGTATGCAGGCTACTGAACTTGTGCTTTAAAAAACAAAGTAGGCCTGGGGATACAGCTCAGTATTAGAGCACTTGCCTAGCATATATGAACACCAGGGAAAGTAAAAACAAAAAATTTAAAAATAAAAACCTGAGGAGCTGTGTATGATGATGTACTACTGTAATTCTAGCACTCAAGAGGCAGGAGACTAAGGCAAGAGGATCATCACGAAGTTGAGACCAGCCTAGGCTACACAATGAGCTCAAGACCAGTCTGGACTACATAGTGAGACCTATCTCCAACAAAACAAAACAAAACAAAAACAACAATGACAAAAAACCCTGAGGATATGTGGTGCTGAGTAAGTTTTAGAACACCTGGAACTTTCATGAGATGAGCTGCAAATGGAAATATAAAACCATGTGTGGATGCCAGTTTCTAAAAATTAGGCATCCACACATTATAACAAACCAAAAACCTTACACTATTTCCCCAAGAGAAATGAAAATTTCTCTTGGGTAAAAACCTGCACATAAATGGCAGTAGGAGCAAATATGATAATAGGGAAAAAATGGCAGTAGGGACTTAATTCATAATTGCCAAAAACCCAAAAAGCAACCCAAAAGCTCTTCAACAAATCAACAGATAAACAAACGGATACATTCATAAAATAGAGATGACATAAGTAACAGTATGAGTCTCAAATTTATTGTGGTAGTTAAAAAAACAAGGTTCAAATGGTAAATATAGTACCATTCCTTTACATGACATTCTAAAAAAATAATAAAGACAGCACTACAGTATGATGGCAAACATATTAATGGACTGGAGGGCAGGATTAACTACATAGGGTCTAAAGAAAATTTTTAGAGTAATGAGACTACTCCGCAACTTAATTATGGCTGCTAGTTCACAGATGTATATGTTTGTCCAAAAATCAGGAAAATTATAGTGCACATTAAAAAGGGGAAACAAATTGTAAAGAATTATGCCATAGAAGCTGGGGATGTAGTTCAGTGCCTTCCTAGCAGGTAGCAAGGCTGTAGGTTTAATCCTCAGCACAAGCATCACATCACGAGAAAAAAAAAATCACATCACAATAAACCTGGTGAAGAAAAAGATCATACAGGGGACTGGGGAATTTCAGATTTTCACGTTAGGAATGCTCCACCCTTCTTGTTTGAGATGCCAATATTGAATTTTTAAAATTTTAAAAATAAAAACCTGAGGAGTCAGTCATGGTGGTACATTACTGTAATCCCAGCACTCAAAAGGTAGGAGACTAAGGCAAGAGAAATCACAAGTTCAAGGCAGCCTGGGCTACAGTGTGAGACCCTGTCTCACAAAAACAGAACAAAACAAAAACAACAACAAAAAACCCTAAGAATATTTTAACATTTAAAAGATGTTAAATTTCCTTCCAAATCTTACTTCCTGTATTTACAAAATAATTTAGATATAGTAACTGATATATAACTTACATAATTGTACTTCACACTTCTAAAAAATTCACTATAAACAGTAATATACAACACAAAACCTAGATACCATGAAAAAATAAACAGAAACATACACAAAAGTACTCAAGATATATTTAGCTAGAGAATGAGGACACAGAAGAGTATGAGATTATCTGAAGCTATCATTAACCTACCATCACGGTATAGTCGATCTGCGGTGCCATCTCAGCATTAGTTCCACCTTTCAGACGAAGCTCTGATGGAGCAGCAGCAAACAGAACACAGGGCATTGAAACCTGCATCAAGAGGCACACACTCCTAAGGAAAAGGCAGAACAAGCTTAACTGTACTGTCTTTTCAAGAATCTCAAAAAAAAAAAAAGCTGTACTACTTATTATACGTCAGTGTCTGCATGACAAAATCCTGAATCTTAAAGAAAATATTTCATAGCGAAAATATTTCTGATAACCCAACGAGGCTGGGAGTATGACACTCAGTGACAGAACATTTCCCTATTATGCGTATGGCTCTAATTTGGTACCTAACACCACAAAAAAACAAAACAAAACTCCAAGCCAAAAAAAAGCGTCAAGACTGAACACACTGGGTAAGTCTTAGCTAACTTCTGACACTTTTCCTTATATTATAAATCAGTATATAAATAAATAAAGGTAAAGCATTCTTCAAATGTTTTTAATAAATTCTTGAAAGCAGCCATTTATGAATATTGTATTTAAAATAGTCACAATCTAAAATACTCAACAGCTTCCATCTGAGTTGCTACCATAAACAAGGCCCTGTTTTAAGACACAGTTCCTAACATCAAGTTGATGATAGGGTAGAATATTTTACAAAGTCTGAAAGTTAAATATCTCATGATGAAAAGTTTCATTCCTACTATCAAAAATGTGAAAAATCACAACAAACAACCACAGAACACTAAGTATTTTATAAAATGAAACATTTGGTCAGATTGAGCAATTATACCCCTTCTCCAAAATCACAAGAAACAAACACATTCAGAAGTAGACTGCAGTTTGAAAGGGAATTTAATTAGCTCTCACATGCTGAAATACAGATCTTAACCTTCTTTTGATAAAAACACACACATTCTGAACAAGAAAATATCACCAATAAAGAATTTTGGGCTGGGGATACTGTTTAGTGGCATAAGCACCTACCTGGCAAGCGCAAGGTTCTGAGTTCAAGGTACCAAAAAAAAATTAATTTTTTCAATAAATATTTATTGATTGAAATGTGTTTGGTATTGGAAGCAAAAAAGGTAGGTAATATAATCCTTTTTCTCAGCGAGTTGGGCCAAGGAGCAAATGAAAAGGAATTGGAAATGTTTGTCTAACTATAAGCCAGAGCTTTATAACTACAAATAATCTCTTTGGTTATTCCCTCTGAGTATGCCAATATACAAAGTATCTCCTCTCTCTGTCTGTCTCTCTCTATCTCTGTCTCTTTTGGAGACAGGGTCCACAACAAAGTGGTTCAGGCTAGCCTTGGCCTCATTATGTAGTCCAAGCTATCCTCCTACTTGAGGTGATCCCCTAGATCTCAGTCTCCTGAGTGCTGGAATTACACATATGCACCACTATGCCCAGCTAAAATATTTATTTTCTCACCAATAAAATCAGATTCTAAAAATAGTAAATGCTGACCTATATTTCCAGCACTCTGATGGCTGAGGCAAGAGATTGAAAGTTTGAGCCCAGCACTGCAAATTTAGGGACAGCGAGACCCCTCTCTCCACAAACGAATGAATCAATGAATGAGTGAATGAATGAATGAAGAAAGAAAGATCAACCAACCTCAAGCTGGGCATGGTGGTACACTCCTGTTATCCTAGCTACCGGAGAGGTTTACACAGGAAGAATGAAAAGCCAGCATGGCAATTTAGTAAGACTCTTTCAAAATAACATGGGCTGGACATGTAGTTTATTAGAAAAGCACTTGAGTAGAAAGAGCAAGACTCTGGGTTCAATCCCCAAAAAGGGACAGGGGAAGGGGCCTCATACTACATACATGATGAAATGTCAGAGACTGTTAACAGCTACAATGGCATTACTAGACAGACAAACTTTTATATTCATTATCTTTAACCTTCAAAACTATATTACACTTTTAAATTCAGGAAAACTAAGACAGAAAAAAGGTTAAGCAATTTTCCCACTAAGTGGTAGAAACCAGATTTGAATCTAATTCTAAAACTCGTACTTTAATGACATGTGATACATACCCCGCTGTCTTGGTATCTGCAGTGTGGATTCCACCTTTGATCTTCTCTGGTGTAAAAGTTATTTCTGTTGAGCCAATTTCTGCCCCTTCCAGTTGCCCATCACACAAATCACGAATCATTTCCAGTCCAGATAAATGTTGAGGCCTTCAGGTCATAATACTGCATCAAGACGTGTGCATTAAGATTGCCTACATCCCCACATTTTATGATATATTTACACAACTGTGATGTCAAGCAAACAACAAGGTCAAACCATAGTAGGTGCTACATCTCCAGTGTCAGGGCTGCCTTTTGGGTTTTTATACACTTAGACTACCAGTAGGCATCATTTAGAGAGTTCCTTTGAGACCAGTTATTTTGGCTATAAACACATACACTGATGTAGCACTGTGAATTCTAAGTGTACAAAGGAATAAAAAAATAAAAGAATAAAAATAGGAGCCACCAAAATTGCTTACATTTCACTGTATAATCTATGGCATCTGTTATGGTCCAGACTGGGTTTCCCAAAATTCATGTTGAAGCCCTAATCCCCATATATTACACTATGAGTGCAATTTGAAACAGACATAACAAAAAGGTAAAAGGATGCCATTTGAGCCAGTCTCCATTCAGTCTTACTGGCATCCTGTAAAAAGGGATTAGGACATAAAGAAGATATCAGTGGCAGGGTTCATACAGAAACCACCTTGTCCAAAGGCAGCAAGAGAGATCACCTCCAAGTCAAAGGAAAAGGCCCAGAACAGATGCTGCCCTTGTGGCTCTCAGAGGAAACCAATGTTGCCAGCACCCTAACCTTGGACTCAATTTCTAGAACTGTGAAAAAAATATTTCAGTTGTTTAAACCCATCCTATCTATGGTATTCTGTTATGGCAACGCTAGCAAACCAGTAAGTACCTAACACAGCCTTAATGAGTTGGGTTCCTCTACTTAGGTATTTGACTTCCTGCCATCAACTATTTGCTCAAAGTGAATTTAGGATCTAGCATATCAATAAATTGCCTTTTTTTTGGGGGGGGGGTGGTACTGGGGATCGAACTCATGACCTCATTTGCCAGGCAGGCACTTACACTGCTGAGCTAAATCCCCAGCTCAAATAAATTGCCTTTTAACAATTTCAAATTGTGGATAAAAAACTACGAACTAGCTCATATAATAGAATATATATCGAATACATAAAAAGGTATCCACTTTGGCATCAACCTAAGTCTCCTTTAACAGATGCTACTGAAATTTATCTAGTATCATGCCCAGCTTCCCCGACAAGAGTCAAGGGTCCCGGCTTTCCCTTAATTCTGGATGTATTCACATCTTTCTGGAGATCTGAATAAAAGCTGGAAAAAAGCCTCTCAGAGTCCTCTCCTGTTCTGTGACTTAAAACTATGCGGCAGCAGATTGCACACGAAGTCTCCTCTGGCCTTAGAGGCAGTTCTGCCCTTACCTATCTTCTCCACAGGGATGCACCTGGAATATCCTAGGACGTGGGAGAACATTTTGAGAAGTTTTTTGGCTAATAAACAAATAAAGAAAACTCTCTGGCCTCTTTCCGAATTTGCTCCTCGGCGCTTCTAAGACCGCATCATCAGGCCACCAACCGGGCAGAGTCCGGGCACTGAGAAGGCTTGAGAGCCACTCTCGACCGCGGCCCTGAGACCCCACCACTGCGGACAGCGCCGGCTGAGACCTCCAGGACTGCACCGCCAGGACTGGCTGATACTGAGCCCTGCAGCCGCCCCTGCTCCTGGGCTCAGTACCTCCAGGCCCAGCCCCGCGGCCCGCGCCCCCCAACTCCGCGCCTGGCTCCTCAGCCGATCCGCTTACCTCAGGCCAGGGGTGCTGCGGCCCGCACGGATCTTCTGCACCCGCAAGGGAAGCCCCAGGAGACAGCTCAGGGCCGTGGAAACCCTGAGGATCTGGCCGCCCTGGGGAAGGTGGGACGCAGGCAGAAGAGACTTGAGAATGTCCGCCACGAAGGCCCTACCCACCCCCAGCTGCGCGGCCCCGGCCCTGACTCAGCCCCGCGCTCACCCCTTCCAGGATCCCGCCGTCCACCTCCACCCGCGGCCCCGCCATGGGGGCGTCCTGTGGCCCTGGCCCGCAGGGACAACGTCTCTTCAGCAGCGCGCGAAGAAAGATATGTTTGCTCCCGCCCCACAGCTCTGAAATCTCGGGTCACAGTTAGCCAGCGGGGCTTAAGGGAATGGGGAAAATCAAGGGTCCCCGAAACACTCCAATGCAGAAGCAATGAACCCAAGCCTGCAGGGTCGAGCGGCCCGTGCGCATGCGCGTCGCTGTGCGCGTAAAGAGGCGGTGCCTTAAGAGTTGGCAGCTGACCCGGAAGTGAGTGGCGGGCGCGGGGATACAGGGGACTAAAGCCCTGAGCTCGCTGGTTGCTCTTTCTTTCCCTATCAAACAGAATCTTCCTGTTGTGGCGCAGGCTTGTGCTTTCTCGTTTTATCAAGATTTTGCTGCTGTAAGAAAAGCTCAGGTTAGCAAAGAAGAGTAAGGCAGTCGTACATGAACAGTATTGAAGTTATGGTAGAATGACAGATGAATTACAATGTCATCCACAGTAACAATAATATATACTGATGCTTTTATTGAGATAGCAGTTACAATATGATAAACTATAACATTAACAGCTGATGTGTACTGAGCACTTAGCTGCTTCGCACCATTCACCACATTCACACCCTGATGAAGTGTTTTACTGTTTTTTAAGTATTTTATAGATTTTTATGTTGAAGTCACACAGTTGTTAACTAGAAGACTGTGAAAGGAACCTGAATAGTCTGGTGTAAACACCGTGTCTTTTTATCTTAGAACTTTTCTGACAGACTGTTCTGGGAACACAGACTATGTACTTAAACCAATCTACGACTTGGTGTAAGATTCTAAGCCGTGAGGTAATCCTGTTTATATTTTAGAGTTATGACTTTGGCAGCATGAGAATGGTGAATAGAAGCCAGAGAGCCTGAAGGGAGAAATGCCAGTGATGCAACTGTCTAGGCTGAAGATGATGAGAAACAGAAGTAAGGCAGTGTCAGTAGGGTTGAAATACAAAAACTATATCTCACATTTTAGATTTATATTAAAGAAAATCTCCTCTGAAGAAGGCCTGTCTATTTATTTATTTTGCAGCTGGTTATTGGACCCAGGGCATTGCACATGCTAGACAAGCACTTTACCTCTGAGAGGGCAAGCCTGGCTTGCCCTTTTTAATTTCTGGCTCTCATGAATTCCTGGCTCTGACTCTTTCCCTGCTTTCCACCTACTTCCAGTGGGTAGCAAGAGGGGAACAAACAGGCAATATGATATAAAGACTAGCCAAGAGGGTAGGTCGTAATCAGTATTGTATAATGCTACGTTAAAACCGTGGACTTGATGTTCTTGTCTTTTTGGCCAATAAGAAAACAATGTCTTGAGAATTGAAGTGACATTCTAAGCTGAAGGAACAAGTGACAGAGTTGGGCTAAATCCTGGCTCTTCAATTATCTACAAAGAAACAAATGGTTTCTGATATCAGATTCTTCAACTGAACATGGAAGTCAGAAAAACAGTGGATTTATACAGTATTTTCAAAATCATGCATAACTGACAATAACCATTAACTTAGAATTAGATATCAGGAAGAATTATCTGTCAAGAATGACAGTGAAGTACAGAAAACAAAATTTTCACATGTATAGAAACTGAATTTAACATCTACATATATTTTTAAAAGGACTTATGCTTTGCAGAATAAAAAGCAGCCTAGAAATAAAATCTAAAACAAGAAAAAATGATGAACTAAGAGGTTGTAAACATGTAAATGAACCTAAACAAAGGATACATAACACCAAATAACAAAAGTATGTAAGAGGTAGGTGACAAAAGTTAAAGATTTCTAAGTTAGGGGCTGGGGATTTAGCTCAACGGCATAAGCGCCTGCCTTGCAAGCAGGCAGTCGTGAGTTCGATCCGCGGTACCGATAAATAGAAAAAAGACAAAAAAAAAAAAAAAAAAAAAAAAAAAAAAGGATTTCTGAGTTTTCTCTTGAGAGTTAAGATAATTTAAGACTAAGATAAGCATGCAAAGCAAAGTTTCAAGGGGGATTACTAAAATAATTGTATAATTTCCAGTGTAGCTGTAGGAGGAAAATAGACAAAAAAGAAAATATAATGTCATTAATCCCAATGACTCAGGGGGCTGAGGTGGGATGGTCACTTGAGCCCAAAAGATCAAGGTCAGCCAGGACAACATAGTGAGACACTGTCTCTTCCTGGTTTGTGTCACATTCTCAAGTCTCCTCAGCACTTGTGGCTTCACTCTCAGTTTCATGCGTTACTTTCTCAGAGACACATTGTCCTGCTGCTTAAGTCTTCTGAAACCTGAACACAAGCCTCCCTGACCCAACTCTTGCATTCTGCGTGTCTGTAAAACCAGCACCATGTGGGTGATGCTACGGTGTGCTGCAGGTTTGAGCAATAGCTGGACCATTAAGGTTACATTACATAATGATTACATTCCTTGCGGGGAGTTAGTAGATGTACACATTTTAATTTCTTTTTTCATCTCCTTCCCTTCCTCTCCTCCTCTCCCTCCATCTCTTGCTCCCTTTCCCATGTGAGAAAGATCTGTAGCTCCCTTCCTCTCCAACTTTGCCTTGTCCTTCCTTACTGTGGAAATGAAAAGTTTTTCAAATAGGCTTTTTTGATCTCGATTTTTTAGTATAAAATCTGACTAAAAGCAGCAGGTCGTTTCCATAACACATACGTCCTGAATGTTAAGCTGTTCTCTTGAAGAAAAAAAAAAAAAATTGATGGTGGTTAGCTGGATCGTGATTTAAACAAATTGTAATCAGACTTATGGAGACTGTTGAGCTTTTGTAAGACTAAAAATTAAAATAAAAGAGGGAGAAGTAACAGCCCTGTTTGTACTATAACCATTAAAGAAATCTAATGAACCAAAAGTTAAGGGGTAGGAAATGTGGTCCGAGGTTGTCACTGGCTAATTGTACCAAATTTTGTGGGAAGAGACCATTTATTCTGCACTCAATAAACTCCCAGCTCTGAAACAAGTAATGGTGCAGAGCCTTGCCACAAAGTATAAGAACGTTCCACTTTTCTGTAATCACGGTAGTTACTGTACAACTCCGAGAACGATGTTTTCCTCCTTACCCCTCATGTCTCCAAGTGAGTGACCTTTCTCTGTACTCTTATTCCTATTCCTGTACTCTTATTCTTATTTCTCTTAACTCTCTATTCCTTCCTACCCCCACCCCACCCCACCCCCACCCCCACGCCCACCCCCATTAAGTGAACTAAAAAGACCTGGGTTGGTGCATAGGTACCGAGGGCCAACCGTGCCCCCAGAAATTGGATCCCAACTATCCCGCTCCACCCCGCCTTGGCTCGCGGGCGCCCTTCCCCAACCGGGTTGCCCCGCCCCGTCCCAGCCGGCCGCGTCCCGTCCCGCTCGCTGATTGGCTGCGGGGTGGGCGGCGCGCTCCTGTGCTCCGCATTGGCCCCCAAAGAGGCGCGTCAGTCCCCGCCCGGATCGCTGTTCTGCGCTGAGGTCTCGTCCAGCTGCGGTGCTGCTGTAATTTCCGGAGGAAAATGGCTGCAGCGAGAGTCCTGAGGACGTGGGGCCGGAGTGCTGGGCGGCTGGTAAGCAGGTCGGGATGGACTTGAGATGCGAGGAGCGCTGTGTTCAGAGTTGTGTAGGAGCGGCGTCTTGCTTTCTTCTGCGAACGCCTAGCAAGGCATGATGGAGAGGTGCACTGATGCGTTGCCGCCGGCCGAGAAGCTGGCGAGGACACCCGGCTGGAAACCCTACTTTCCCTTCCCTGGCACATTTCCTTCTGCAGTGACTCGGTCGTCCCCTTCTCTGTGTATATCCCGAGATCAACTGGCCCTTCACTTGTGGGCCTTTCACTAAGCACCTTCCAGATGCCACACGTGGTGATGAAGGCTGAGGAAACAAAGGTGTATTCGCTCACTCGGTATTTCCTGAGCATCCAAGGTGCACCAGGTACTTGTAATAAGAGTTCTGATCTCGTTTACCTTTTCGAAAAGACAGGTCAAGCAAAGAGCGTATCACGGTACCTTCTTACCCAGAGGCACTGCGAGTTTGAACTTCACCTGTTTTGAGGGACAAGGTTTCTCTGTTTTCCAGGTTGGCCTTTAACTCACTACTACATTAGCTCAAACTGGCCTCAAACTCGCAGCAACCTTCCTTCTTCTGCCTCCCATTGCTGGGATTTCAGGAATACACCACACATCTAGTTAACATCACTTTTTGTTCCCATGTCATACCTCGTAGTATTTGAACACTTTATCACCCACCCCCTCTCCCCATTTCACCTGCAGTCCCCCCGCCGCCCCTTTTTTACAGTCTTTTAACACCAAGAGCAAACACATTCCAGGAGTAACGTTTCTTTGCGCATCTTCTTTTTCATCACAGCCCCTCGCCTCCGTTTCTCTAGATGTTCTTGCAGTAGTCAGCTCCAAGTCCCAAAAACTTCAAAAGCCTGCTGTGAATCAGATACTAGGGATGCAAATATCACACAGATAGGCGCCATCCCTTCCTGCCCAGAGACTGCAATCTTTCAGTGAAACCAGAGAAAAGAGCGGCAGCAATAGGCGGAAGCAGTGGTATAATGGGACAAGAGCACAAGCTATAGTAGGGACATCTATGGGGGATTTAAGGTCAGACAGAAGGAATACTGATTAGCTCGAGGTTTGTGGGGGATCGGTAGGAGGAAACCAAAAGAGAGCTGTCAGTAGCACTGTACTGGGTATTGGCTACCCTTCTGTAGGCTATCCTGACACTGGCTGCCTAGTATTCTTCTTCCTATATCTTTGGCCTCTTTCCCTACACAACTTTTTTTTGTTTGTTTTTTTACTTTTTATTTTGTAGGTACATTTTAGATATACAATATACACAATGATAACATTCGTCATAGGGAGTTTGTACCTATATGTGATATGTCTTGTTCTTTTTTTCCCATTCCCCTCCCTTCCCTTCAATCCCTCTTCTTTATTTATGAAAGCTTTGTTTCCATTTTTGCCTTCTATTTTTTTTTCTTGTCCCTTCTCTCCATTATCCACCCCCTCCCTTATTCTGCTTCTCATTTGAACATTTTCTGCTTATTTCACAATACCTATTACACATTTTGGTCCTTATTTGCACTTGTGGTTTCTCACACCAGAGAAACCATGCTATATTTGAACATATATGTCCAATTTATTGCACTTAAGATTATGGTCTCCAAGTGATCTATTTAGCTAGAAACATCTCCAGCTTATTCTTCTTTATGTAATACTCCATTGTATTTAAAAAAAAAACACATCTTCTTTATCCATTCATCAATTTATGGGCATTTGGACTGTTTCTAAGATTTGGCTATTACAATCTGTGCCACTATAAACATGAGTGTGCACATATGTCTGTGGTGTGATGCTTTTAATCCTTTTGGGAAGCTACCAAGATGGGAGAATATCTGGGTTAGAACCTCTAGTTTTAATTTTTTGAGGAATCTCCACTCCCTATACAACTTTCCAAAACAGCCATGTGCTCCATCCATAGGGACATTTCAGTCAACCATAACATATAAATTATAATGGAGCTGAAAAATTCCTATCCTGTAACATTTTTACTCTACCGTTTGTGTTAAGATGTGTGGCTACACAAGTGCCACTGTGTGTTATGGTTGTCTGCAGTGTTCAGCACATTAACTTGGTGTATAGGTCTGTACCCAGGAGCAATAGCCTGTACCACATAGCCTAAGATGTGGTAGGCTATGCCGTTGGGTTTGGTCTGCGTATTAGAGGCTGGCACAGATAAAGCCACCTAAGGATACATTTCGCAAAACATATACTTGTCATTAAGTGATGTCCTCTGCACTTTTCCCACTTTCTGAGTTGTCTCATCCACTTTGAATGTAGTTAACAGCCCTAAAGTTCCCCAAGCTTCCACCTAGGTCTGTTCCAGACCCACTATATCATACTGCCTGAGGAATCTTCACTTGCATGTGAAGGTGTTTTTCAGCTGCAAAAATAAAAATCTAACCAATAAATAAGAAGTTAAGTATCTGTGGATGGAGCATCCCTAAATTTGATGACAGCTGGCATTGATAGAGTGGCACATTATCATCAGGCAGAGACTTCACTTGACCTTTCCCTCCTGACCAGAAAAGGGCTAGGACAGCTGCTGCTTCTTTTTTCTTTTCTTCTGAGACAGTGTTTCACCACGCAGTTCAGGCTAGCCTTGAACTCTACAGAGCCCAGACTAGCCTCACAGACTTGAGATGATCCTCTTGCCTCAACCTCCCAAGTGCTGGGATTATAGGCATGATAGCTTCTTACTAAATAGTCAAAGTAGGAGAGAAAAAGAGGTGAATCAAGCTGATTTGCTGGCTAGAGTAGGGTTACATAGCCTAGTGCCACTCGGTGCTATTGCAAGGGAGCTTGGAAAAGTCAACTGTCAGCCATTCCTGCACGTTATCTGTGAAGCCTTAAAGACACGCCAGCCCTCTGGGCTCCAAAACTGAACCTGAAAACCTGTTTCTCTTGATTGTAGCCTGTAACTTTCTCTGAAGAATCTAAGCACCATCCTCCACTCTGCTCTCAATTGCAAAATCCTGATCTTTCCTAACTGGGCCCTCTGCCTCAGATTTGTGCCTTTCTCTATCACATAGCCAGGGCAATCTTACCAAGTGAGACTCACGCTGGGTAATGTCATTTTCTTGGTGAAGACTGCCTTCAACAAAAATGTCTGAAACTGAGAATATTTATGATCTGTGCTTTTCCAATTGCTCAGGCATCATTCTGTATTATAAACTTGTTTGTCTCAAATCTGACTGATACTGCCACACTTTGTTCCACACCAAAGTAGACTGGAATTATATTAAACAACTTGAGTAAATGAAACATCGTCACCTACCTGTCGTGACTCAGTTGCCAGACCTTTGCGTATGTATTTCCTTTGTTTTGAAGACTCTTGCCTTGTTTCCTAAGGCCATGTATGCAATGTGGCTCTGCTCCTGGGTTCCTCCCACTTCTCCTTCAGGTTTTACTTCAACATAAGTTTCTAGGTTCTCTTCCCTTGGATTTCCTTGACATGTTTTTTTTTCTGTTGTAATACTGTGTTAGTCACCTTTTCCTTGTCTTTGTCTTGTATCTGCTTTTCCACAGAGGTAAGATTATGTCCATTTTGTTCCATCTATAATCCCAAGTGCCTGGCACATAGGTGCTCATAAATATTTGTTGAATGATTCAGTTAAAAAAAACAAGAGTTTTGTTTTGTTTGCAGGAGTAATGGGGTACACCTGTAATCCCACTTCGGAGGCTGAGGCCGCAGTATAACTGAGTTTGAGGCCACCCTGGGGTACATGGCAAATTCAAGTCCAGCCTGAACTACATAGTGAGACTATCTCAAAAAAACAAAAACAAAAAATGTTCTCCCTTGTCTTCTTTTTAAAATTATTTTAGAGAAGGTAAAACTAAGAACAAAACAGAACAAAGCAGATCAGGAGAAAACAATATGACATAGATTTCAAAGCAAGACAACAGGAGATCTACAGTAGCTACCATAATGTCTCTTGTTTTCTTCTAAATAGTTGTGCATACCTTCATACACAATAAATTCATACAAGACAAACTAGTTTTAAACTGATCAGAACAAAGTGATGAAGGTATGATAGGCCTTCAAACCCAGACAGTAGGGAAATCAACAATGGCTGCCATAATGTCTCTAGTTCTCTTCAAAATAGCTGTCCATACCTTCATGTATGTTGAAATTAAACAAAACAAAACAGACTAAAACCACTCTAAACAAAGAATAATAACATTACTGGTTTTCACAGCATCGTAGGAAATCAGAAATGGATACCATAATATCTCTTTTTCTTCAAGGTACCTATGCATTTGATCATGCAAATAATATAATCAATTCTTTTAAACTGTTCAGAAGAAGTTCTATGCATATATAAACCTCTACATGTATACCTATCCTTTCTGTATTAGAGGGAAAAATAAAACAAAACAAAACAGATTACTACAAAAGCACGAAACAAAGACAAATAAGTAACAATAGCAAAGAGGCCAAAACAATGACCATATAGGCCTTCAAAACAAGATGGTAGGAACATAACTAGGGTTGTTATTTTATATAATGATCTTCAGGAGTTCCTCAGATCACCATACACTAACATGCACAATTGTTCCAGTCCTATGAATGTTAACTGTTTTGTTCTAAGAACTTGTAGAATTTGTAGCACAATCATCTTAGCTATCCTAAGTGTTTATTTAATTTTAGATATTTTTTCTTTTCCCCTCCTTTTTCTTTTTCCTCCTTTTCCCTGAGATATTTTTTTTCCTTTGAGCAGATTTTTATCTTTTCACTGTATTTATTAAAGATTTTTTATCTTATGTACTCTTACTATTTCTTAGACGAGGGAGACGATGTGCTATTTACACATGTGAGTTTATTTCACTTATGAGTATGGTCTCAAGTTGCATCCATTTATTTATAAATATCTCAGTGTGATCATCCTTTATTGCTGAGTAATACTATATTGTATAAAAATGCCACATCTTTTTGATCCCTTCCTCAGTTGATGGGCATTTAGGTTATTTCCAAGACCTGACTATTACAAATTGTGCTG